CGGGTGACCTCTCGGGGAGGGAGGGGTTCGACAAGGCGTGGCCATCAACTCTTCTACATCCTCCTCGCATCCTTGTTCTCTCTTCTCCGCGCGCGCATTGATTTAAGGAGAAAATAATAACAAGCGCGCCGACGAGTGAAGAGTTTTTCCAGTACAGCACAGTCATCCAGATAAAAGCGAGAGAAAGAGCATCGCACCCCCTGCCGTGAGAAATCCACCTCTCGCCTTTCGGAGCGTGAGTCGCTCCGGCTCGAAATCAGAGCAGGAAACGCGGCGCCTGCCAGGAAATTGGAGCGTGCACATCATTCGATTCACTCCTCCAAATGCGTGCAGGAAAAAGACGAGGAAAATAATCGACCTGCTTGATGGGACGGGTTCCGTTTTTTTTTAAGAGATCAAGCCATGGGAGAAAAGTTTTCGAGGACAATTTTGAACTTAATGACTCATGGAGAGGTTGGATTTAATCGTCTTTAATATTATGAGGCAGAATTAAATTTTCGCAATATCAACTCTGATAGCTGAAAAATTTCCTTGTATATTTCGTTTTTTCAAACTTAATAAGGTAAATATTACAGCTATTTTGCCTTATCATGAACCAAGACAAATTTTGAATTTTTTTAAATGAGATAACCAACAAAACATACAAAAAAATTATTATTTGGCAGTGAAGAAAATTGGGCTTGAATTTTATATGAAAAAAGACTAGTTTCGTTCACGTTTTGCGATATATTTCTTTTCACGAGCAGGCATTATTTTGGCAGGCTTGTATTACACCAGGGATATTGATTTTTTTTTAATGCTGGAAAGGCGTGATTATGTAAACAAAAATTATTTGAAATGCTATTCAGTCTTTTGATTGGTGTTTTGAGATTATGATTTTTATCAAAAATGTGAAGATTACATAATCATATGATGTTTGTTTAAAAAATGTATAACTAACTTAATAAATTCAATTATAAAAATATAACCTTTTAAAATAATTTATTTAAGTAACTAAGGTTTTGTTATAATTATTTTATATTAATATAATAAAAATTTGATTTTACCATTTAATAATTATTTGCATTTTTAATCATAATGAGATAATGGCGTTCTTATTCTATAATATGTAAAGCAAATAAAAAATTATATATATAAATTCAAAATATTTGCTATCAAAATATATATTAATCCTAGATATTTATACCTGTTCCATGTTCTTCCATTCTTTTACTGCAATGCGTTTTAATAGTAATTCACATTATATAATATCAGATAATTTTTTGACAAGCCTCAATAAAATAGCAACAATTATCAACATAGTAGGCCAATGTCATTTGTATTAGCATTGCTTTAATGCTCCATAATTTTTGATGAGTGAATTTGCTGAAGATGTACACAACCGAGAACGCGAAATTGCTCAATTTTCTCAACGGCCTTGGTTTCTTTATACGGCTTTTTTATCTCATCCTTTAATACTGCTGGGCGCAATTATCATTTTACCGTATGAAAAACTATAACAAAACTAGTTCCAAATAATAATAATAATAATTTGCCTATTTCCATTTTCCCTTGCCAAGCAAATGTCAAGACTGGACACTTCTGAGCATAACTCATTTTTGCGAGAGAAGCGAGGGCAGAAGAAGAAGATTCTCGCCGTGAATGTCTGTCTGCTGAAGAGAAAAAGCAGTCGGCAATAAAACACACGCACCTGCGCCGCCACGAGTCGCGACCTTTAGCGGATTTAATTTACGCAGAAGAGATGCTACCCAGCATGGATGTGGGCATAAAGCACTCTAACGGCTTCCAGCAGACTCGCAGGCAAGGACGACTTTTAGGAGCGACCCAAGGGAAAAAAATCATAATACATAAAATGCTTTCACCGAGTCAGCGATTTTAATTTCGGCTCAACGTCCTGATGTGATTAAAAAGTCAACGCCGGCCGTTTTTGACGTTGTAATTATTGTATATACACTCGCAAGAATTTGTGACAACTGGCAGATTTTTTTACTTTTCATCATTTTTTACTCAATTTAGTAACAGGCAGTGCTGAAATGAAATTGCTTTGCTCAACAGGGTACTTTTTAATATGCAGACCTGCTCTTTGTGTAAAACAAAAAGTAGCTTTAGCGTTTCACTTGAGTTGCACAAAAAGTGAGAGAAGAATTGCCAAAATAAATTATAATTTCCTCTTTTTTTTTGCAAGGACTCGACTCAGTTATTATTCATTATTGTACCAAGGAAGTATTGGTATTAACTTTTAATCGCAAATTAATTGTGAGAAAGGCCAAATTGACTTTTAACTCTTCTATAATCTCATTAACGGATCAAACACGTAGAAATAAAAATGTAAAAATATGATGCTGGTAAAGTTTGTTTATAATTCATGCATTAAAGGAGTCATATCGAGATTATTTTTTGCTTGTATTGTAATTTAAATAGGAATGGTTAGAAAAATTTACTGTTGCTGTATCATATCACATAATATGTTATTACAAGCAGACCTTATTTTTCAAAAGAACATTTCCATTTTTTTTCTGGAAGGCCTTGATCCGCTTAAATTCTGTGTTAATAATGAAACTTATGCATTTCACATAAATCTCCTAATGCAACTTGGTGACCAACACGCGATAAAATCGTTTATCCGGCAGCCCCACTTTGCATCAACAACTTCACTCGAGGCTCCCCTCCAGGCCTGCGAAATTTACGGCCGCGAGATTGACTGATTTTATTGGGTGATACGTTTTTATGCGTTTTCCAATTTCGGTCCTCTCAGCGTGAGAGGAAAAATATAATATGCAACGACTTATTTATTTTTTATTGGTTTTGTTCATCAAGGCGCCGGTGAATGAAAAGCTAATTGGTTTTGTTGCGCGACCTTCGTGCATGTGTTTTTGACGTTGGTCCACGATCGATCTATCTCTCTTTGAATTCCGTGTCGAATCGGAAGTCGAATAAGCCATAAATTTAGATCACTCGGCGCAAAACAAAATTATGCTTCTTTTTATCTTGGGAATTATTGGCCCTCCGAGGAATATCAATATACTGGTTTTCAATTTGCCCTTCTGGCCACGAAATCTGACAGAAAGAGTACAGACCATAAATTACCCTCGATCCGATTATGATCGAGCAATTGCGGAGGTGCTTGATGAATATTAATCATTGTTATTATCCGTTTTCTTTTCAGGTTGAACGCGAAAATTGCCGCAGTACACGCAAAGCAGCCGAATAAAAAGCGTAGAAAATCGCGAGAGGAGTTTAACGTCCGCACAAGCACAGCTTTAATTACACGCTCAAATATATTCCCATGGCCATTGTTGCTTTTCTTTCTCTTCCCTCCGCCGTATAAATGCACGCACCACCTAATTACATTATATATCAACCTGGGATCATCGCACTCGCCAACTTCAGCAACTCGCTGTCATTCATTCCGGTGAGTTAGAAATTAAAGGTGGAGAAAGAGTGAGGTGGTCTAATACCATCATTACCAGCAATGCAGTTTTGGGCTTATTAAGTGAAGCAAGATTTATGCTAAATTTAGAAAAATTTAAATTATCAACAAAGTAAATTTAAAATCAGTAGCAATTGACTTAATAATAGCTGTTAAAATCTCAATTTTTCGTAAAAAAAAAAATACTGCCAATTTTAATTTTGTAAAGACATACTGCGATTTCCAACAGTACTTATTTTACTTCAGGATAGTAAAATCAGAAATTATATGTGGACATTTATGATAGATAGTTGAATTTCAAATTAAACCAATAAAAGTTTTGATAAGAATTAAAATTAATAATCAATACTCATAGGTTTTTTAGAATGACTGGTGCTTAAGAATTGGAGCATAAATCATTTCAAAATTTTTATGGGGAAGATCAATCTTAACAGTGAATGGTGCCACTGTAAAAAATAAAGATTTCTCATTCACGATTATATGGAAAAAAGAGCCATATAATTTTATAATGCGGTGCAATCAAATATTATATATGATGCGTAATTTAATTAATGTGGGGTTTAATTAGAGGAAAACACCACACGTGCGTATGCAAGCATGCAATTTGCGTCGGTAATGATTCAGAAATAAGCAAATGATGACGGGGAATTTTCATACTCCACTTCTTTCTTCTTTTTTTCTTTCGGAATTATTTGAAATCGACACGCAATCGAGAGGTTTTTGATTCATCTACCCGCAGCAGACGCGGCGCGGAATTTGATGAATTTTAATTAGCGGATTCGTGCGTTCAATAAAACAATCTAATGGGAAATTAGCGGCCAAATGAATCTGTTAATGCAAGAGGTCAGTCTGGAATAATTTTGCATCTTGGCATGAGCATCTCTTTCTCTCTTGCCTTCTCGCATGGCAAGATAAAAGCTAATTGGCATAATTAAAATCATTCTCACGGCATGCATTGACCCTGGGAGAGCCACCAGCAAAGAGTGCGCGATAGGCCAACTCGTGTCAAGAATCTTGTGCACGTCGTCGCAGCCCCGCCGCCGCCGCCGTTCCCACCCACAATTCTGCGCTTTGCAGTTACTCATTACTCTGCCTGCACGGAAGATGCTCACAAATCCTATGCGTGTGATAACGCCGCGCCATAAAAGTGTTTAATTCTTCTCCGCATAAACACAAGCATGAAATTTTCATTTTGATCAAGTTGCGCATAATTATCTTTCGCTGCAAAATCCCACGCCTTTTAATTTAACTGTGCGGAGGTCTAGTGCAAGGCAAAATATAACCGCTAAGTCTATAAAATAGCTTTTTATGTCTGGAGAGTTTTAATTATGAAAATGTGAAAATTTCCATTTAAAATAACTTTTATATATTTGGTCAGGCACCAAAAAGTAAATATTGTACGTATCTATTTTTGTACAGATTGTAAATTACCATTTTTGTATGTTATACACACATGTGTTTCATAAATTTTTGATGATGATATATTTGGTCACCATTTGGTTCCCAAGACATTCAAAATATTATAGCTTATATAAACCGATATTCATTAAAATCAATCAAAAATTCTTACCTTGTTCCTTCTTGAGGATGGACAGCAACCTGAGGTCCACCTGTTCCGGCAGAGCTGCAGTGGTCAGTGCAGGCACAGAACGTTGGGGCGCCGCCGCTGCCGTTAGCGTGGGATTGTACCTGGGCACCTGCAGCACCACCGGCTCAGGCCGCCCCACAGGACTTTTGTTCACGCTCAGGTCCACCGGCTCTATTTGGTCCTTTTGGCTCGGAGGGCATTCCGCCTGAAACAAATAAAAGCACTTCGTTTTTTAGAAACTCTGATAGAAGGAAATGAATTTATTAAATAAAAGTTTATGCAATATTATATTAAACCTCAACAAATTACGTTTAATTTTAAAATGACAACGAAAATACATGTTCTAGCAATTTATAATTTCATTAATTTTTTATTTCATTATTCATTTACATTTAGTTTTCTATAATATAAAAAAAAAATAATAATAAAATATTTTACTCAATTTTACTATAAAAATAAAATATAGTTAAAATTATCGGCTATATTCAACACGAAATTGCTAAAAAGACAATATTCAGTTAGGAACTTTACTCTACTAGTGCTGGTGCATATTTGAAATAAATTAAGTGATTTTTTCAGAAGTACAGAATACATTATAAAATATGAATGTGCCAACCTCATCTAGCGAGTGTTCATCATAAATATGTAGTTTCAGAAAATTTCTTAAACAATTTTAATTTCAAAACTTAATGTCATATGAGAAAAAGAAAAATAAATAAATTACTTTTAAACATTTTAAACTTAACCAAGCATTTCTGTATTGTGTGCAACATTAAATTTACAACCTGTTTCAATAACCTATAATTTAGAATCAGAAATAATGAGAATTTGTTTTTGGCAGAAGGTCTAACTAGAACGTTTGTTTGTAATATTTTTCGAGGTGGCTCTAAATCAGCGCTGAAAATCGTAATCAATTAGAGTACCGAGAGTGAGAACAATTGATATAGGTGTGGAGCAAAAATAAATAATTGTTGCCTGGGCCGAGTCGCGCACATGCACGTGGAAAAGAACAATAAATAAGTTGAACACACAAACGAGTTAGTCTCTACGTAATAATAAGACAACTCACTTTTGGAGTTCATAAAGTGATATGTACCACAGGTGGAACCGATAAATTTGCACAACTAAAGAAGTGGAACAAAGTGACGTGCTGACTGTACACACGTGAATATGTGTGTTGTTATTGTTTTATATTTACACACTTCGCCACCGCGCCGCCGAGACACAATACGAAAATCACCTTTCACTTATTTTTAAAAGCAGCTCCCACATCAAGGATCATTATTTTATAATAATAACTCAACACTGACATCATGAGTGTGCCCTTTGAAAAATCGTTATCATTGAACATGTGTGCACATGTAACATACACCGCTATATGTACAGCTGCCCCTTTATTTTACTTTTTGGTGGCGACCAACTTTTGTCCAAAACAATGAAAAGAAGAAAATTTAAAATTATTCAAAATTTATTTATTTGCAAACCAAATGTTATGATTGAATTATAAATTGTGCATAATTTACTGAAGAATTTTCAAGAGGCAAAAGATAAATTGAAGAAGGAGATAAGGGGGGATGTGAAATAAAATTGCATACTCATTTGCTTAATCAAAATTTTGAAATTCTTCAAAAAATCAAAATTGATATCAGATTAAAATTTTTCTTATCATATTTTCAAGCAATCTTAATTAATTTCAAGAACAATTACTGAAATATATTTCTCGTATTTGTTTACAACCCTTTGAATTTCTTTTTAATTTAATTTTGAAGGTGTCAGCAAATCGAAGCAAAATTGCACGTTCTGCTTTCATACAAATTGAGGCGACCCTCCTCTTTTTTTCAATAAACCGAATTCAGCATCGCGAATCGGACGGAGTGTGCCAATTTCGCTTTCGCGGCCACAATCGCAGCCGTTGATCTTTTTTCTGTCGGCACGCCGGTCCGCAGACTCATTTGCAGAAATTTATTTGCCGCTTGTAAAGCACTTGTCGCCTGCACACGTACTTCGTTTGGGTGGACCGCGAAAAATCAAGCTCATTATCATATTTCTCGGCACCTGTATCTGATTTTCATTGCATTTATTACTATACACACGTACGCACACTTGTCGATCCAATCGAGACTTTTTCGCTCGGCTGTAATTCGAGGAAATCAATGATCGTCTCTTAAAGAAATTTAAATACACGCAGCGGTCTCGACAGGGGAGACACTCACACTCGGGTGTTTTTAAATTCATTCAAATGCCCATATCGTCTCACATTTCTTCCTGTTGTAAGCGGTCATTAAAACGAAATAAAATTTTACGCTTTTTACTAATATTGTGTAATCAACCTTGAGTTCTTTAAACTTTACCGCGCTCACTATTCCAGAATTAAATAGAAACTTGTCATAACACTTGTAACAAGCTGACGACTTTTAAGGAAACTTGAATTTAATGAAGGGAAACTTTTTTGTTCGCACTTTAATTGTGACTCGCTCATTTGAATTCATTATTATTTTTATGGTCTTGTTCTCTAAAAATTTGCGCATGAATTGCACGTCGTGCAAACATTTTGTGTGTAATTATAAATTAGCTGTTGTAGATCTTTATTTTAATGAAAGTAGCAATCGAGAGGTGACAAATTAATGCTATTATTGCATGTTAAATTTTTTCTCTCTTCAAAGCTAAAAAGCTTAAAAAAAATTTAATAATGGGGCGAACTTTTAGATAGAAAACAGGTTTTTCAATTTTGCTGAAATAGGAATAAATTTTTTGCAAGATATTCAGGTTTTTTGATCGAAGAAGATAAATAATTTATTTTATTACTTCCTTTTGAGCAACAATCTTGAAATCTATCTGCTCCTTCGAGATAAAGATCAACCCTTGAGTTTCTCATTTTATTGACTTTTATAAGTTGTAAGTTGTGAGGACAAGGATTTTATTGTGTCTCAACAGACACAATCAACTGCAGAAACAACGGTTTATGTCACGAGAGCACTTGTCGATTAATGCTCATAAAAAATGGCATATCAATTAAGGAAGGTCTTTGGGTGCAGATTCGACGTGGGAGACGTGCTAAGTGCGATGACGCGTTGCAATAAACTAGACGCAGCGTGTTGACAATAATGTAGCAATTTTTATATTCACTTAAACATAGTTCGTGCAGCTTTCAAAGCGAATGCAATTAAATTATTCAAAGAATAGTCACAATATTTCAATTCATCTTAATGCATTAAACCCATTTTGTAACGAGTCTCTCTGACCTCTTTGTTGCTTAATTAATGCAAGACACACACACAATTGCATTCATCTCTCCAAGAGAATGAAATCTTTCTTGCTAAGTGAAAAGAGTGCTTGTAGCTCGAGGAGTCGAATTAGTGCTGTTTGCAGCTGCGATTTAATTGAATTTCATTAGCACCAGCGACGGGCGAAACAAGTAAAAAATTAAATGTGATAATAAGCACACTGGCCAGGCACTAAATTGAATCAAACTGACTTACGCACTCACAACTCACTATATATGCACGCCAAAGGGGCCGGGCAATAAAATTCAATTTGCACTACACGCCTGCAAGTTCATCGTCCGTGTGTGAGCCGCTTGACATGTGGTAGAATAGATTTAGCTGAGAGATTGCTTTAAAAGTTTTCAAGTTAAAACTTTGCAAATAGAAACAGAATATCTCAATAATTGTATTCAAAAGAATTTAAGTATTTTGTAAGCGGAAATTTTATGTAGAAAATTTTTTGCATCTTCTAAAAGAAACTTAACGTGACAATCTGAATATCAGCAAGAAAATTATTTTTTTCCGAGATTCCAAGCATTTATTAACAAATTTCAATCCTCCCAGGAACAAATTTTGGGTCCATTGATGATTGAACTTCCAGATCAGAATATAGAAGTCAAAATTTACCTTAAAAACGTACCTGAGCAAGACCTAAATAATTCAAAAGATGTATTTTTTTAAAGCTGTGGTGACAATAATAACTAATGCAGGCAGTCAAATTTTATAATAGAAATGTCAATTGTATATTATACAATTGACATTTCTGGCCTACATATTTTAATTTAAAACTATAACAAACTGCAAACAAAAATCAAATTTTTATATTTAAAATTGTTCACAATTTTTTTTCATTGTGTTGATCGTTTTATCAGTGTATATTGAAACATTAATTGGAACTTAACTTAAAAATTGCAATTTAATTAATATAAAATAACAAATTGCTTTTGGTGATTTACCTCTTGGCTGAAGAAGCAATAATCATGGTAATCAGCTGCCGAGCTTGCAAATTAAACACGTGTATTACAATTTGACATAACATATGAGCCGCTGACACAGAGAGAGAGCAACTTTACAACCGAGAAGAACAGCTCCTCTCCAGATAATCTTTCGTTGGCTGTACAGAGGGACAAGAAGTACACACCGCCAGCCCGCTCTCTTTGTGTTATGTAATATTAAAAGAGCGAGAATATGCGGCGTGCGAATGATTTATGGGTGCACAAATAGGCATTCCGCCCACCGCGGCAATGCAAATGAATTTGATACGCCTGGCCACTACGTTAAACAATATCAAATATAATTTCTTTCTCTCGCTCCAGGATGTGTTGCTTTTCCTCCACTAGCTATTTTATTTTGATGTACAATAATATGCCCCTAGTGTGGACGCACCGACCGAACACAACTCGCCTTTTCTTTTTGCATATTTATTTATCGCACCGTGACATCTTATTGTCAATTCTTCAAGACGATTTTTCATCTCGGTGCACGATTTACAATTGCAAGCCACAACAACTCGCACACATGCTTGTAGGAATGAATTATAATATAGTCGATTTGGCAAGTAAATTTTGGATTTCTTGAAATTTGATTCTCATTCCAAAGTATTTTCAGTATTTTTATAATAAAAAAATAAAATGAAAGAAGTAAAAACGATTTATATTATTTTTAACTCTTGTGCTTTTATATCTCCTGTGGCTTTTTTTATGAAATTGATTTTTTTTTTAATATGAGTGGTTTTAAACTTCTGCAGTTGCGCTTGGAGAATACTTGCATGGTAAATAATAAGCGTCTACTTAGGTGATAATCCTTCTTAAATAGTAAATAGGTCAGAGGTCAGATATAAAATTTTCGTTGGAAAGTTTTATTAACGGATTATGAAGTTTATTTAATCAAGTTTAAAAATGAATTTTAAACATTTCTATTAATACATTACATAGACTCATTTAATATTTTATCAATTACATTATTGTGTGAAATAATATCCATATAATATTAGTTTCTCTTAATAATATTATATTTATCGTTGATTTATAAAATACACAAAAAACATATTTAATTTGTTTGATTAAATAAATAAAATCATGAAAAATAACACAAATTTATTAAATAAAATTAAAAATAATAAAAAAATGATAAAAATAAAAAATTTTAAATTAAATACAATGCCAAAAAAAATTAGACATAATAAAATATTACATATTACATGTTATTTAAAAAAAAATTATTGCTTTTAATATTTAGCCTTTCGGCACGTTAATTTTTTGATGAAATTATGTTTTATTTCGACCTGAAAAAGAGCTCTTGAAAAAAGGTTGCAAACTGGAATTAAAACTAGTAGAGCTGGGATTTTCTGTATCACGCAGAAACAACAAATTATCTCATCAATGACGAAAAAAATTTATAGCAAGTTTTAGTTTTGTTTCCTCTTCGGATATTTTTGAAACCTTCTTTGTGCACTAGATTATGCCAAGTCCTAAACTACATACCACAAGCAATTTGAATTTTTGATACTTAAGATACAAGATTAGCAATGCGTAAGTACAACCTAATTTAACGTCTTATCTTCAGAGACGCGTACAACCAACTGTTCATAAAACAAACACCAATTACCCTCCGATCTACATTAGATTGGCCGTGCGAGTAACAACAATTTTTAAGTAGCTAGAGGGATAAATAAATTTGAGCGGTGCTCGTCGTCGGCAATCAGTCATCTCACAAAGAATTGAGGCGTTAAAACACGGGAAAAAATAATTTAATGAATGAGCAGGAATTAAATTTATCGCGGGATTTGGATCTTTGGTAAAGCGGAGGCGACACAAAGAGATGATTGCGAAAAAGGCGCGCACAATATGATAATAAAATAACGCGCTCTCTCGCTCTCATGAAGTCATATATTGCCACCGAAGTCGCTCTCAACGCCTACGCGCGTGCACCATATGAGTGTGTGTGTGGCATAACTTTATTATTATTATTGCTCGGCTCATTTATCAGCCCGGAGCGGCGCAAAGTATGTATAAATATTTCGCTAATAGCGCGATGCGCTTAATGAGATAAAAAGCCCCGTACTTAGAAATGGCAAATTGATTTCGAATTGACGATAACGTGTTAACGCAGAACGAACTTTACGAAACAATGCGCCGTGGAAAAACAACAGAAACGAGTGTACATAATAATAGTCATAACGAGCAGAATTACAGTCAGCTTCGTAGGTGCGCATGAATTTCCTCGGGGCGCTCGCAATAATAATAATAACAAAGATTAAATCGTCTATACATATAATGTAACGTATCGCCATTGGCTTCATACGTTCATACATTCCCGGTTTGCTCTCATTGTTATATTTTTGCTCCGTTAACAGCTTTACTTTGTATTACAAATTTCTCGATAAGTGTGGTAATTGATAAGGTTCTTTTGATTGTGTTTTGTCTATTTTTCAAAATCCCATAAAATACGTATAATTTTTTTTTCAACTCAAAGCATAACATCATTTATTTTGATAAATTTCTTATTTTATTATTTAATTATAAAAAAAAATGATAGTAGAAGTTCACGATCGAGGGTTAATTTGAATTAAAGAATTTATTATAATTTCTTTTGATAATTTCTATAAAATGTTGAAAACCGTTTTTTTTTCACCATCATTTTAATCATTTGCTAGCTCGTATAAATTATTTTCGACTCTATTAAAATTAAAGCTAAAAAAGAATCAATATTCATTTTCTTTCCTGGACGAAACGTATGTGGGTTGGAATTAAAAAAAAATTAGGTGATTAATTTAAAAAATGAATATTTTCCCAGCTTTTTTACACAAAACGTGTATCTTCCGCACACTCGTCTCTCTCTTTTTGCGATCCAGCAGCCGATGTTGAAATGAAATTAATCAAATAACAATCTCTCTCTTGCAAATGCTTTGAAGGCCTTTCAGAATATAAATCATATAAATCAAAGAGGATAAAATTTAAATACAAATGTGCTCTTTTATTTGCTTTGCTTTCGCATTTTTCTGGTAATCCTTCTTTGAGCGGGAAATTTATAGTCCAAGGCTTGATTATCAAGCGGCGGTAATTATTGCGCGCGATAAATCAATCCACGCTCATTAAATTACTTTTGGTTTGATTCATTGCCGAGTTGTCCGCTTTTCTCTTTCGGTTCGTTTAAATTAAAACCATGTTAACATAAGCACGGTGGCGTAATGGATAATGGTGCTTTGCGAAACTGGATCTTCACACGGCATGAGCGCATAGGTGATGGGAAAATAATGCTGTTTGACAAATTGCGGCCGATTTGTTGTCGGTCGGTCGACCGGGCCGTGCAACCGAAAATAACCGGCACTAAGGCGATCAAGAGCTGAGGATTATTAAGAAACGACGGCGATTCGCGGGCGCGCCGTGCACGAAATGAGGCCCAATAAATGTCCTAATTACAGCGCGGCTCATTAGTCAAAGTGAAATTGGCACTCCCACGGACGAGATCAATCAAATCTCCGCGTGATAAATGGTCTGGCAGTGGAAATAATAACAATACTGCCGGGTAATTATTATTGGATTTGATTTTTTCTTAACGCTACCAATTAGAAAATTGGCAATTTTCATTTCGACAAGCAAGACAATAGGGACGCGGCGCTTATTACAAGCCTATGGGCGTCGTGGGAGGCGAAAAAATCCACACTTGGCCCCTCGCAGCATCATTAGCACTGGACTTGTTATCGCTCTTTCACTCGAGATCGACTCCACCTGGGGCGGTCTCCAATCTGGCGTTACGAAACACTGGTTTAGCATAAGTGGATTAAACTTCAAAGCATTGCTATTTTGAAAAGGAAAAATATGAAATTGTCATCGATTCGTTAAGATTGTTTTTTTTTCATAATGTTTCTCAATAATGTCGTATTTTTATGAAGTTAATTCATGAATGAAAACTGAATTTTAAGTATTTTAAATTGACGATATCTCTTATTGTTAATAGTATTTATAAATAATGATTTTTGGCTCAAATAGCTTCCTATGGACTTGATTGCCAAGCTACTAATTATACTAAATAAATTAGATTACTTACGTATGAAAGTGAAAAATTTATTATTATATAAATTTGTAATAAATTTTTAGTGTCAATTTAGTGCCAAAATATAATATGTAATTTATTATTTATTTTCAATATTTTTAAAGACATAAGCTTTGTTTGTTAAACTTTCAAATTCAATAATTACTGAAAAAATAATTGTTTTAAATACTTTGAATCTTTCCACAAGAATCTTCAGTTTTTTAATTTTTCAATATTCTTAAACCTTTGACGTTTTCTCATAAAAATCTATTATGAAACTTTATAAGTGTTCCTTTCTCAACAAGATTTAGTTTGTGATCTTATCAATTGAACATTGTATTGATTTAAAGAGGGGTGCAACGCGAAAGATACGCAATTGTTTTTGCCGAGCGCCAACGGGCCCCGCGGCGAAATAATAAGCCAACAATAAATAACGCCGTGCGGAAATTCCACAATATAAATTATATTCAAATTACGGCGGCGTGTGGAGGAGAGCAGGTGAAATAAAACTGGTAGTTTGATTCGACATATTAATCATAATAATTCAGATGTCAAACATGTTCCCATTAAGAGATTGTATCTCTCACCATGTAGATGACAAGGTTGGAAATACACGCGTTATTATAACAGCGGCCGATTGCATCACGGCCGGGCATTTATCTCGTATGTCCTTCTTAATCATAACTTTGGGATATGCCTATGCGTGCACGCGAGAGAGTGATTGACTGCATTGTGCGCGAGGAAACACAAGTCGATCGGCACATTTTTCTGCGCGACGCAAAACGGCAACTCATGCATGCATGTGTTGGATAAAAATGTGCGTTAGCTTCAGAAAAGTGGCTTTTATTGATGCTGGAAGAAGGAGGCAGACAACGGCCATGAGAACGGTTCTAAGGGAAATTGTTGTCTTTGGTGACTTTGAATTTTATGTATGTAGATCAAACGCAAAGTCGAGGCGCGCCGCTGGTGGCAAATATGCGAGTTTAACAAAGAGAAAAATAAAAAAGTGAACTTCTATAAAAGAATTAAGGAGATGATCAATGATAAAACTTAAGAGAGAAAATCTTATCTAAAAATGGAAATATCTTCTTTGCACCTTACTTTAATTTTATTTTGATCTTTCAAAAGATTATACTAATATTAACTGGGAATAAAATTACATTGGATTTCATAGTTTTTTTGTTGAACAATTCAATTCAAGAATGAATTATTAAGTTAAACTAGCATTGAATCAACAGATTTAAAAACTTTTCATTTTTAAAATTTTATAATTTTTGAAGAAAAAAAAAATATTTTTAAAAATATTTCTTATAATTATACATATTCTTCTTACCTCCTTTGATGTCATTGTGGGATGCATTAGGTTGTCGAGCAGGCGCCCCACGGAAACGGGCGACGCTGCTATGTTCGCTAAGCGGTCGATTTCGGCAAAAGGCCCCTGCCCAGTGGCTGTTCTCGGCGACCGAGGCCCAGAATAGGGGCCGCGCTGTCCTGCTGCGCGTCTGCGGTGAAGAGGCAGAGGCTCTGATGCGCCACACTGGCCGCCCTGAAACAAATAAAAAAAAAATTATTTTAAAAAGTAATGAAAATTTCATTTAAAAGATATTATTTTGAAACCCCTTGCTGGAGGTTTTGTATGCAACCCGCATGGGAGACGTGTGTTGCGGACTGCCTACCCCCAAATTCACTATCCCATCCCTGCTGGTAACAAAAGAATTTTTCAAACATATCCTGTATTCATGTAAATTCAACCGTGCCAACTTTCTAGCGATCACTTTTCTCAAGGCCGGCTCTTTATCTGAACTAGTTGTTGTGAGCTCTAGGTGTGTTTATGCAAATAAGATGATTTATTATTATAAGGATCAGGAATATTTAAAATCCTGAGCCCAACTTGTTCAGGCGTGGTGCTAGAGGCCCATAATAATTTCCTATTTAGTTGGACATGATTAATAAGGTTATTTATAAACGCAGCGAAAATAATACTAACATCGGTCTCTCAATGGTAATTTGTAACTTTAACATGCAAAAATTATCATAAGAAATTTATCACAGAGTTCTCCGAAAAGATCAAAATGGATATTTTTTATTTTCAAATTTTAATATTTCTTCCATCAACGTCTCATTCACAGGCATGATAAAATTTAGTCAAAGGCCGAATCCCATTCATTCATAAATAAACTAATGCAATTTAGATCTCATTATCTGGCCAGATTAAAGATGAGATAAATTTGGCGAAAGGTTGCACCCAAGGCGGCAAATAAAATTAATCCGCATGGCACAGCTTCTTCCTCTCCGGCTTATCTGATGTGCAGATTTTACAGCCGGGCGAAAGAGAACAAGTCTTTTTCAAGTGTGGGCACCGTACCTGACTTGCCTGGGTATGAAACGCGCAATGCTTTATTGCTTTATGACGTAATATAATATAAATTAAGCTACCGTCCTAGTAGCTAGTTCTTCATAATAATATATGGACCCAGACACCTAAAGCTTTTTGACCGCGAAATAATCCTGGTTTTCGTTTATTTACCGCACCAAGGCCGCTGATTTAGCACCTCGGTTTTGCTTCATTACTCTTCGTCTTAATGAGAGAAATAGTACTTTTTTTACCGCGAATCATCGCATACGCCACTCCTAAAATTTCTTCTTGTTAAAACATTACGATTCACCGCAGGTTTTGCGCAACGTTGGTGGCGCAATTATTAAAGTTAATTTACTTGCATCTTGAGAAATATCCTCGTCTGACAAAAAATTCCACGACATCAAGCCAAATGAGGTGAAAGCAATTGGGCTGAATTTATGTAAAATACACAGATGGACGCAGCTAGGGTGGGCTTGCTTGTTTGCACAAATTTTCGTTTCAACGCCGCCATAAATCCACCGCCCAAAAGTGAAAGAATTTATATTTATTGCCTTACAGAAATGAAAAATTAAACGAAATTGTCAAAAAAAATTGCTCTCGATTTTTACATATTGAAACACGCCCTGGTAATGGCATATCGATCGATTTCCTGAAGGTCTCGCCCCCGGTTTTTTGTACCTAAGGATGTCGGCGGCATTTGATGTAATTGCCGCCGAGCCGAATTTCCAACGGCTTAATTACTAGACGAGGCGGGGTGTGGGGTGGGGTAGGCCCGCGATTCGACCGCGCCCTGACAACCACGCCTGCACTCTTTGGAACACAATTCGCCGGGTGCTTCGTTTCGCCGGCGGCCAGGTCGTCACCTGTTCATTCACACGGGGAAATTCCGGCTGGTCGATTTCTCCGCAATGGGCTTCTTAAAAATGAATAATGTGGGTACTCAAAACTCAAGAGAGGCGAGGAATTTGCACAGCCGTTGGAAAAACATCCGTGGGAAGTGACGGATGAGTGCAATTTTATAGCAAAAAGCATTCAAATAATTTGTTAATGGAGATGGCATGAGAGGCGAGCAAAATAAATTTGTTCAGAGACTTTAATGGTGGATAATTTGGCACAGGGCGTGGTAAATTAATTTAGAATGGCACTCAAATGTGCAAATTTTGGTAATTATTTTTAACATTAATGATAACTTTTTCCAGGATTAGAGATTTTTTGCAAACATTTTCAGATAGAACAGCAAAATTATTGAACGGAAATAAATGTTTAAATGTTTGTGAACAATATCCATCGCCTTTAGCCAAAAAAAAGTTGAAAAGGTAGTTGTTCATTTCTCAAGTTTTCATTTTAACAAATTTATTCAAACCATTCGGGTTTCCTGCAGTAAAGAAATTTACCAGGAAAAATTAACAAAAACATCAATAAAATCGCTATCAAATTAAAGATAACTTTTATTTCATAAAGTGAAATTGAAAAAAAAATAAACACTCACAATCAGTGATTTAAATTTAGTTCTCAACAGGTTTTCAAGATGCATAAATTCAATTATATTGCGAAATCGTTGTCAACATTGTATTTAATTGATTTCTACACGCCACAGGTTCAATAAAAGTTTATCCATTCAATGCCACCTTGCACTTATACCATCGGAGAGTTCACGACTTGTTTACAATGTATTGTGCATAGATTTGAATTTTTCGCCAATATTTTATCCGCTTTAAGGAGAACACCTGTTTTCATTTGAATTGTGAAAGAAATGTATAAGCCAAGCCTTTCTCATTACAATAATAACTCACTTGGAAGAATAAATATAAAAGTAGTGAACAAGGAGAGAGAAATGTGGAAATACAACTTCAAGCTCGGCTAAACAGTGAGAAAAAAGAAACTTTCCTCTCCGTTATCAAAAGACAATAAGGCCGTAATCTAAAAGAAAGGTGATAACAGAGCCAATTTGCGTTAATTTCATAAGCACCGGCGAGATCATTTATCAATGAATGAGCAGTGAAAAATATTTATTATGCAAATAGTACACAACTTTTATATCTGACGCCGCAATCGCTGAGCACGAATGAATATATTTTGAGATAAAGCATGAATGGTTTTTAATTCCGTGCGGTTTAATGTATTTATTAAGAGATTAAAAAGCACCGGGAATTCATATAATTACATCAAGAGCGAGTGTGGGAAAAGAGATATTGTGTTGTGGCTTAAGAGTTCACCGCACTGATTGATTACCTCCTTCTTTTTCACAGCGCCCAGCCTTTGACCTTTTAATGAGGCTCATTTTTATGGCTATTGTGTTCGGTCGCCATTTCTTCTTTTTCGGGACGCACTGACAGCTCGACAATATGATCGCTAAGCGATTATTGATCAGTGTCAATATTGTGTAAACACACCGCATTATTTTCGAAAGCAGGATCTGAAAAAAAATGTGTTGCACGATCGCGGCGGCGGGTCACTACTTTTGAAGAGGGTTCTTTGTCGCAGGTTGAGCCGAGATTAAAAGGTTACATCGGATGAAAAGAAAATTTCACTTTCGGCGACAGATCGCACATTATTCTGCCAGACGCTTCATTAACAGTTAGATGCATTTAAAAGGCTCCATTCTTCTTTGAATAATCAATTTTTGAGATTGGCCATTGATAGCACTATTAAAATGAGGGCAATTGTTAAATACAATAATAAAGCAATCTAAGTTTAATTCTTACATTTCATCATGAAGTACAGATGAAGTATAAATAAAGTATTCTCAAACTTTTATTTAGTAATGTTCTTTTTATTATTTAATATATCACTTTACTATATTAAGATTTAAAATATTTTTATAAATTTTTAAATTTACCGTCTTTTTAAAAATTGTGCATAGAACTAACATGAATTTAAAAGAACTGTAAAAAAGCATTGCTGTTGCATTTAAAAAATTTAATAAATGCTTTAGTAGCGATTTCAATAGAATTTAATTATTAAGAGAGCAAAATTTCAAAATTTGTCACAGAGAAATAGAGTTGAAGCTAAATGTTAAAATTATATAATTGCAATAAAAAAAGCATAATCGTTGAATTATGATGTTAATAATGACTAAAATCAAACAGATCCCAAGCATTATGGTTTGAAGTTTTCAAGTATCTTTCTCATTTTTTCCATCAATAAATGCTCGAATTGTGGATTGATTGCTTTTATTGTATGTTGAGCAGGCTGACCTTTATGCATTATTCCATTGAAAGACAAAGCGGACACCGAGACTTATTACATCAGGGTGACACATACGCTTGGCTGACGCGTGTTTTTGATCAAACTCGCCTTGACATTTGGCTTAAGAAATACCACGACTGGCACTTGTCTTGTTACAAGTTGGGCTGCAAAAGCTCACTGACTGCAAACTGGCAAATAATAAGGAAAAATGACATCACCGAGTATTAGGGATGAGATCACTATGAAAAAATGGTCAGGTGGGTGAGGAGGTATTTACGCAGAATCGACGCCAACACCTTTATCCGCGCGTGTTTTGATTTATCGATAAACAATAGGCGATCAAATTATTTCCCACCTATAGATCTTTCAGAAAAATAAACTGGGTCACTTCAAACACTTGTGTTCGTAATATTTATCATCAGAGAAATTGATTGCTGTCCAAACTGAATAGAAAAACGTAATTTTTAATTAAATAAAATTTAAACTTTCCTCATCTAAAATCACATAAATTAAATGATAAAATTTTACTAAAATCACTAATTATGAGATGAATCACTTCAAAAAAAGTTAAAACAGGCTAAAATTCATAATTTTGGTGTAATAAATTTATTTTTCCCTTTACTTCAAGCAAAAGCTTAGCATAATTTCAATTAACCAAATTACCAGAATAAGCAAAGATTTCACCAAACAACACCTTTTTACCAAGTGTAGTTTTTATTTTTAAAAAACTAGGTCAGTTAAACCTTTACTAATTTTTAAGTTTAATCTTGAAGCTCATACAGATTGCAATAAAAATTGGAGAGTAAATTTAATTTAATATTAATTTTTTGCTCAAATTTGTCAGTCTGATCGGCCGTGGCAACTTTTCATGCAGAATTTAATCGCAACGTGACTTTTCGCACATACACACACCCGTTTCTGCCGGAGACCAGTTAGCGTGTCATTATGCGTGAAAATAAAAAATAAAAAGTCGGCGCGAGCGAAACCGGAGTGTTAAC